GAGCATTCGATGGTTCAGGCAACGGAGTGCCCGTGAAACGTCGTCGGCGTCGATCGAGGCGGAACGGCCGTTGTTTCTAGCAACGTTTACCGATGGCGAAATAGTCCCTTGGACCGAGCGAAGTACCCGGGAAGCACAATCGCGGAATGGAACAATCGATGGGGAGAAATTCCCGCGAAGGTATTCTGATTAATCGATCCGCCATCCGCGGTCCAACCGCGTTTATGCACGGTGCCTTCCGTACCGGGACTTCTGGCGAGTTTCCAAGCTTCAGCTCGTGCCGTTGCTAACCCACATACTTGCTGAAAACGGTGTTATTAAGCACCCGGGCACCGGACCGCGCGAAACATCGCGCCTCCTCGCGTTCCTCCAGCCTCTTTCCCTCTGTTTCCGCCAAGAACCGTGCCGCGCTACTCTCCCGCCGCTCTTACTTTGCTCTTCTACTTCCGGCGCTTCCAACTGCTCTCAAAAGGAGTCTTTCTTGCGAAATGAAAACACGAGATTACGCCCAAAGAGTACCGTTCCGGGGCGGTGAACGTTCCAGTCAAAGGGACGTACGCGTAATCGCGACGAGCTAACATTTTTCTAACCAGAAACAGACGCTCGTTTCACGGAACACGGGGCACCTTGCTTCTGGTAGCTGCTCAGCCTCCCGATAAGGCGATACACCGAGAGCTAAATCGAATTCTATACTGGGTGAACCGTCGTGAACCTCTACGAACTGATTTCCGCGGACCATCGACGCCGACAGAATATTTTCTCTTTAACGAAAGCGAATTAAAGTTGAACAGAGATCCACTCTGTACTCTTTCGCGAAAAGAAAACTTCACGAATCGATAGATACGCGCGTGCAGAATATGTATGAGGCCATAAGTGAGGTTACAAGCGCGTGTAACTGAAGGATTCAAAAGTATTGGGTAAAACTTTGAAGTATACACGTTATAGGTATAATCACTCTTGTGGTCCATACAATGTTAATGAAGCTCGGAAGAAATTTAAGTTGTACGAATCACCATTTATCCTTAATAATGTTATTTTTCTCGAAGAAGACTAAAAATTGGTTCGTTGAGAATGTATGAGAGACGAACATTTTGTTTGTTTTTTGTTTTGATAACGCGTCCCAGGAATTCCTCCTCGTTCAGAGGTGGACCGTTCTGTGGCCCAATTAGCGACGCGAGCGAGAAATTATCGTGTTCGTTGCGAGAGGTAATTAACAGTTTCGTTTAGTGTTACAGGGTTATGTGTTCCATTCTGTAGCTATTCCGTACAGGGACGAAATTAACAACGGCAACGTACAAATATATCATTGTAGCCCCTGAACGTACGCGCGGAAAACAGAAGAACATTTTATGAAACGTATTTACATTATGATTAATGCGAAATTAGTCGATATCTCGTGAATGTTACACTAACGATTGAGTTTCAAATATAATAGTGTCTGTCCCGTTTGCTGTGGAAAAGGAAATAGGAATTCTTTTAATTACCAACTCGTGTGATAAGAAAAATGATTTATTCTGTACATCGTAACAAATGTAAATTTATCGTTCGTTCCAACAAGTGTTTGTCCAAGGGTGAAGCATCGCTCTGTACACAGTCGCGAATAGTTTCATCGCTCGACGGACATTGTGATGTATCATGGTGATGAGAAATTTAATATCGACGGGACGTAGACCCTGACAGTACTCTGTTCGTCTTAAAATATGGTTCAACCAGAGGGGTGGGAGGAATTCGCGTCGAAGGGCTCGGATAAAGGATCGAATTTCCGGCTGTCAGAAGCGATCGGGAATCCCTTCCGAATAATCTATCTTTTCCTTTCCTGTTATCCGCGATACACGGTGAATTAATAATCCATCGACTTCTGATAACAACCCTCTTCAACAACGTCGGATTCGCTAATTGAATCGTCTCGTTAGGATGACAAATATATCAGAGGATACAAAAAAAAATATCTTGCTATGTATTTGCGGGATGAACAGGTGGAAAATCGTCGAGTTGGATAAAAATCTGAAGAATCTTAATAGCGTACAGGAGAACCAGTGTCTATATGGCTGCTCTAGGATCGATGGTCCACATTTCTTATCCCAGAAGGCTCTATAAAAGCAATTCCGTGTTATCACAGTAGCAGAGAAACATTGGAAACACGATCGTTTATTTCTGTTATTTCCAGCGAGATGTTCGACGCTTGAATCTATATATTCTTGACACACATCAATAGACATTGCCGATTTCTTCTTTTTCTCTTCACGAGTTCAATCTTTGTTGTATAAAGGGCGATATCCTTGGTTCACAAGTGCCTGTGCCTGATTTTTGAAGATCGAGATACACTTGTCCCAGGAATCTTCCTCGTAATCTGTCACGGTCTTGCTAGAATCAGTCGAGTATCTGCGAAAGGATAAATGACCAGATTGGTTCTACTTTTTCCCCGAGCCACGAGCTTCGGCAAAGAGAACAGTACCTTAGGATTTCCTGGACAATGAACAGCGATAAATCACACGAGGACAACGATCCCCCGTCACGGTCCACTCGTCGTTGGCCAATTTTTTGGTTGGTTTCCAAGGATGATGGAGAATCGAAAGTTCCTTGCTCGGCCTTTTGAAGGAACCGTTCGAAGGCGATGCTCAGGAGAGGCGAGCAGGCGTTAGTCAGCAAACCGCTCGGCTAATCCCTTAATTACTTCGACATGGTTAGCGACCCTGTACTAACCACGTCGGTGCCTGGCTCCGTTCCCCGGTCGTTAATTAAAATGGCACTTCCTTGCAGCCGCGTAATTTCTGCGGCGCAACGTGCACCAACCGTGACGGTCAGTTAAGTTCGTCTTTAAACGTCCTACTCGGTCCGCGTAAAAGTTACAAACACGACACCGTTTACACTGTTAATTGCGTCTCCCTTTCGAAACGGGAATCCCAAGACTTTCAGACGAATTAGTCATTTCAATCGCAACTCGCGAAATCCTGAAACCTCCCTCCTATACAAAGCGCGAAGATGACGATTCGCCAAATTTAAAGGGAAACACTGTTACAAATTTCATAGCAATCTAAAATAAAGCATAGAGTGTGAAACGAATAAAAATTATTCCCAATGAGACGACGGTTGCTCGTTTAATTTGGTCGAAGGTTGTCCCGAGATGATCGATCGAAAGTGACGTGTTTTCTTTGGCAGAAGTTGCGCGACCGGAACTAGAAATGGAACTGTCAGATGCAATCGTGCTTTTCTAACGGACGTTTCCGAGATTGTGACGTTGTTACCGTGATTCGAAGATTTCGGGGTCTCGCGCGAGAAGTTTCGACGAATCTCCAAGTTCGTATCACGGGTCCATTACGGTAATGGAGATGACACGAATATTCGCGAATACCTGGCCCCCGGTGACGCGATTTCCGTGAGGGAACCGTGCAATTTTGAGAAATATCAGGGCTCGCGTTAGGATTTATTCGAGTTTCCCCCGAATTTTCGAGACTGGGATCTCTCGAAAATTTTTGCGATCCAAGGGAAAATTTGCGGGACGAATTTTCGAATTACGCGAACAGAAGTGCGCGCGGGGCTCGACATAGCCAATTCCAAGAAAATGACGTCGATTTCCAGAGATTCCTTCCAGCGGAACTTTCGTCGTCTTTTCGAGGACGTTCCGAGGAAATTGAATTTTTGTATCGTCAATGTATCGCGCCATTTTTCAATTCGCGGACGCGATTCCTGTTAAATATTCGGGGAATTTTCTAAATAACATCTCTGTTATTTATGGTTACTGTAAATTGAGAGAATTCGAAGTAATTAAATTAGGAATAACGTAGACTTTAACTTTCCACGAAACTTGGGGTGTACGAATGTCTGGCGTACAGCGAACGCGCATAAATCGCGATTTAATTATGCAAAACACGGTCAACGGACAGTTATCCATTCGGATCATAATTACTCTAGTTTCATGACTTTGTAATTGTCGCATCAATATGATAATGTAAATACTGCGATGGCGAACGACGAGCCACACTCGATACAGCATAAATATTCATAGCAATGCAACATCTGTCCGTATCTACGCGCAATCCAGAAGAAACCAATGTCGTAATGGAAATCTACTCCTCGTCACAGTTTAAGGATCGACTGCCTCGTCACGAATTGCGCCAAAAACGCGGTAGAACCTCCATCAACTGTGTGAAAACCATGGTCGAACGATAAAACGTTCGCCCTTGATAATTTTATATTTCAGATTGCTTAACGAGTTTCCATTTTGCATCGATATTATTAACTGTTCGCTTAATGTAATTGTAGAATAATTTTATATTTCAGAAGTATTAATTTTTCAATTGCATTTTATACGAGGACGTATCTGGAAGGACCTATAAAGTTGAAAATAAGTCAAATATAATTCATGTAATCGAACTTTAAGTATTCATAGGACGTCTATTAGTGGCTGATATTTTCAAATGCTTCCAATCTAAATGTGGAAGGTATCGCGGTATGACGAAAGCAAGTAATAATATGAAAATAATTATACACCGGAAAGAGAAGTCTATTTCGAAACGCGTTAAATTAACGCCGCGTCGCCATTAATGGCAGCGCGGTGGATTTGCACAGAGGCAATACAGAGAAACATTAATTTCCAATATGAGACGTCGAAGAAAATAAATATAAATTTAAAATTATATAGTCACCAATTATGTCGAAAGTTTAGTTTGAAAGTTAACGCGATACTAGTGTTAAAATCAAAGGTTCCAACAAGAGCTTCAATTCTGTACACCCCTGTGGTGACGCTGAAGAACAACGTGACGTTTTTCTGCGTAAAAAATTTGCTTCGACGGTGGCTTGGATCGCGGCGAGGCTCTTTGTCAAACGCAGTAGGGTATTGAAAGGTTCAGGTAATGGAGATTCTACCGTGTGCTCGACGATGGTGGCTCGAGCAGACGCACGACGTGCCTAATCGAGTGTCCATCGTTGCGGGGCGAAGTCACCGACGGTCATCACCGATCGATTCTCTTTGTAATGCGTTGGGCAACGTGCTGATTCAGGTACGGCAGCGAGGGTGTTGCGGAATCCGCTCTGGTCGACGACACCCTCAACGGAAATCCTCGATCGTCGTCGCCGTCGTCTTCCTCCTCGATTCTGCCTCCCCTTCAGTCAGAAACCGCGGACTCGATCGACGCTGCGGATCTGTCCGGGTCGAGAAAGTACGTACGGCCATCTCGTTCGCGACCTCCTCTTAGACCGCTGCACCGTTTTGTCCAACAGTTGTTGCTTCACCGTTTAATGTTGTTGTTTGTTGCTATTTTTTTGCTATTACCGTTGTAACTCCAATCGCTAGCGCGTTATCGTTAACCGGCTAATTCGACGCCCCCACCCACCCCACCCACCCTCCGTCTACTCTAATCGCGAGCTTTTGTAGGCGATCGTTGCTCCTCGCGAAGCTGCTCCGTAGGAAACTCGAGTTGTTGTTGCTTATCTTTGTACCAACACACACCCCGTCCCAGTACTGCAGTATTGTAAAGTTGTGGCTGCGGACGCGTCGAGGATTGCATGCAGTTACGACGGTTTCGTACGCCTCTCGCGAACCGGGAGACCGTTGTTTGCACAAACGTTCGCGATACCGGTGTTTGCCTCCTAATTGAATGGAAACACCAACGAAAGATGGAGGACGAAAGTGGATTAGGAAAAACGCAGTGTCGTGAAAACGAACGAGACCCCGAGCATCTTTCTTTGAACTTTTAAAAGAGCTTCGATTCTTTCGAACTCAGCATTTTTAAATAATTTTCGAGAAATATAAAACATCGCGCGAACAAAACAGAAAATAAAAATTCTCCACCGCGTCAGAAAGTAAAACTAACTTTTCCCGGGTGCTCGTCGGTCTTTCAGCCGCGCCTTTGACGTTAGAAAGCACACCGAGAGAATACATTTTATTCCGCGGCCGAGGGAAGTCGACACCTTCGAAAGTAGAGTTTCATTGTCGGTGCACTGCTTTTTTTTACCATTTTCGAGTAGAACTGTTCGCGTAGACATACACCGACGCTCGTAACTTTCGACCTCCTTTCGATCTCCAAAAGAAACCTCGTTTTGTGCGTCCACAAACGTTTTACAGAAAATAAACTTGGCTCGAAACTATTAAATCGATCTTCCGCAATTTTTAAATAGCATTCACTTTTCGAGGGAGCATTTATGCATGAAAGAGCTTCGTTTCGAAGATCGAGGGGAGGTCCAAAGCGTCGAGGATCGTGCATTTTGCCTCCAGTGGCCGCCATCGCCGCCGAGTAATCGACTTGCTGGAAAACTAGCTGGACACCGCGAACCGTTAGTCGATTAGCTATTTCCATGCAAACTGAATTCCATCGGTAGCGATTTCTGCTATGTTTTTCACTCTCGCTTGGCACGTTGCTCGCGAATGTTACGCCAGTAAGTACTATGGAGGACGATACGTCTCTGTCGATGCCCTCCCACGCGCGCTCGATAAAACTTTACGAGCCATCCGATGGGCCAAGTACACGCTCGTGAACCGATTTGTCATACTGGACGCATCGTTAACGACGATAAGTAAATGTTAACGACGAATCCATCCGCGACGAGAACGCCAACCGACGTACAACGATGTCGCGATGAATCGTTGCTTGCATGACGCGTTCGTTCCTCGTGTTCTACTTCGAAGCGGAGTCAGCCATTGTTCGAATCGATGCTCGAAACCGTGTTGCTGCTCGGATGACCCGTTGCTTTTAAATTTAACTCTATTAACGCTTCGCCTACGTGGCCCGTTCAAGTTCCGTGACTCGCGAATAAAATTCAGGGACTAAAAAATTATTGTAACTCGATAACTTCGACGGTGGAGTGGTGGAATAGGATCGCGGTAGGTAAAGCGTTAAGTACTGGCATCGATCGTTGTTGTAAGGATTGTAACGCGAGTCTGGGGAACGCGGGGCGATAATTTCGTGCCCTCGATATTACAGTTATTGCGAGAAACCGGATAACGAGACGACTGAGATGGGCGGCCTTCCGCGCGTCGAGGGTGGACTGAACAGCGAGTTGTACGCGGTCCCCGTGAAACGAAGGCAGCCCAAGGATCAAAAGAACAATGCCACTCAGCAGAACAATGCCCAGGAGAAGCCGTCGGAGGTGGATACCACCGACTCCGAGGACAAAGACGAGAATCTGCCGCCTGGATGGCAAAAACACGAGGGTGGGTATCGACGAATCGAGACGGCAATATACAGGGTGGATCGCTTGGCCTCGCGACCTTAAATTACTCCGCCATTTTGATCCCTCGCGGGGCTTATTAAAACCTGAACTCGTAAAATGAATTTTTTATTTCAAACATTTCATCCGACGTATAAGTAATTTGAGGTCACTCGCTACTCGCCTTGTATAGAAAATCGCTGAATCGAGGATCCAGGAGCCCACGAGGGGGTGAAACACGTGAAATTTGGATCCTCCCTTAACTTCTGTGAACCTGTACATAGTAAAATTTTCGGTCGATCAGAGAGTACCGAGTCTCGGGAAGTCGATGAACGATCGAATTCTCTTTCAGACGAAAATGGTCCCTATTATTGGCACGTAAAGAGCGGCAACATACAAAGGGAACCTCCGGAAGCACCGCCGCACTCCAAGAGGGAGTCTCGCAGAAGCCTCATTAAAGACAACGACAGCGTGAGTTTAACGAAAGATTCTTGAACCTTGGGCAATCCTTGAACCAACGAGTAGATGATTCAATCGAGAAACGATGCACTTTCCAAGAAGCTAATTTTCCAAATTAATTTCACTCTGTACTTCCGTGTGGTATTTGATATCCTTTAAACGAATTTCAATTGTCTGATACCTGGTGTGCAACAAAGACGATACCATTCTTGCAGATAAATAATTTCCACACTCTGAGCGGCATGGTGAACACCGTGACCCGCAGCAACACGAGTTCTGCTCTGGACCAGGAGCTGGAGAACAAGAGAAAAGTGGAGCTGGCTCTCAAGTAAGACACCGTCGATTTCCACGGATCACCGATTCGATGGGATCGTCTGACCCGTTGTTTGGCTTTCAGACGAAGAAGCTACCCGGCAAGAGCAGACTCCGAGGGCAGAGACAAGCCCATCAGATTCGCGGTGCGTTCGCTGGGCTGGACAGAGATCGCCGAGGAGGATCTGACGCCCGAGAGAAGCAGCAAGGCTGTCAACAAATGCATCGTGGACCTGTCGCTCGGCAGAAACGATCTCCTGGACGTGGTCGGACGATGGGGTGACGTTAGTATCAAACCAGACGCTTCGTAAAACGAAAATCGTACGCGGAATACGTGGAATTTTGATCCTCTTAGGGCAAAGACCTGTTCATGGACCTGGACGAGGGGGCTCTGAAGCTGATAGACCCGGAGAACCTCACCGTGCTCAACACACAGCCGATTCACACGGTCAGGGTGTGGGGTGTTGGCAGAGACCACTGCCGGTAAGCGATTTTGAATCATTAATAGGCTTCCTCAAAGGATTGAATGCCATTAATAACGTATCTATCATTCTTTACACGACCACCCCCTTTTCGGACGGCCTCCTCAGCGAAAGGTAATTTCATTCGTCAAACATCGCGTACGATAACGTTTGTTTAACTTGCCCCGCGTCGTACTATCCATGAAACTTCTTTTTCAGAGACTTTGCTTACGTGGCGAGAGACCGATCGACCCGAAAACACATGTGCCACGTGTTCCGTTGCGACATACCGGCGCGCACGATCGCGAACACGCTCCGGGACATTTGCAAGAAGATCATGATCGAGCGATCGCAACACCAAAATCTCGCGAAACCGGTGGACGTCAACGGGCGAACGAGCCTCGCCACCAGACCCACCAACTTGCCCACGGAGCATCGACGTTTCCTTAGAAACGGACAAGCACTAGTCAGTAAGTAGTCCAGAGTTAAGTTAACCTTTCGACAGTTTTAATTTTAACTGCTTCAACACAGGTGCCTATTATTTCCAAAATAGTATCGAAGTTCATTTAGCAATAAACTGTGCTTGTTCTGCATATATTGTTGCTAATCGAACCGTTGTTATCTGCCTAGCGCAATCGTTTCCCACGCCGATGGAGGAGCCGAAAAAGGTGCTACGAGCGCAATATCTGGGATCCATGCAGGTTTCACAGGCGACCGGGATGGAGGTCCTGAACGACGCGATAGATCATATCGTAACTAACACACCTATCAATCAATGGCGAAACGTGAACGTGGCTGTCGCGCCCAGCATGATATCCATCCTGACGCCGAACGTAAGTGTAAACCGCGGGACGTTTCTGCCCTCGGTTGTAAATCTCTTTCTAATTGACGTGCGTTACAAGGAGGACAAGCTGATCACCGAGTGTCGAGTACGTTACTTGTCGTTCCTGGGCATCGGTCAGAACGTGAAACAGTGCGCTTTCATAATGCACACCGCGCAAGATCTCTTCATCGCACACGTCTTCAACTGCGAGCCCAGCAGCGGGGCTCTTTGCAAAACCATCGAAGCCGCCTGCAAGGTAATTAACTACGGTCTTCGACCTTTTGACTCGACTAGTCGGGAGTTCTTCAAACGACCACGATTCAATTTCGTTATTTTCTGCGCGCAGCTGAGGTACCAGAAATGCTTAGACGCACACCCGCAGGGCTTCAGAAACGCCAGTAGCCTGAACACTCCGAGCGGACGAGGCCTCGGCGCTACCCTGAAGTCCCTGGTTGGCTCTCTGACTGGACGTAGAAATAAGCAGGGTGAGTCCTGAGACGAGGCTCTCTCGCTGCAGGTAAATGATCACGTTCAGTTAGTATACAACGAAAATTCGGCAGCACGATGAGAACCAATCAGTATAGTTCTCGCGGTCCATGTGTTGCGGGTAGAAGAGACACAGTGAACTCGAAACACGGTTCGATCGGTCCACAATTTTCTAGTCAAGCTCTGAATAGTTAAATTAACTGATCGCTCAAGGTCCGTGTATAGTCAAATATTGGTTGATAGGGGATTGGATCTATAACAAAATTTAAAGTTAACTTTATACCACTAAATTGTTTGACCGGTTATTGCTCGTAAGCCCAGCGTCTTCTCTTATTTTAAGTTTAATAAGAGCACTAAAGTAGCGACTTTATTACGGATAAGCGAGGAACACAGATGGGAACAGGCGATTAAAATATCGATAAGGTCTAACTACGAGCATTATCTGATGCTCGTAGAAGAAGTAAGACTATGGAAAGATCTTATCCAACTTGTTGAGCTACAAAGTATCCAGTCAGCGTTCCTGTATCATGATTGATACAGTAACGGTAACTTCATAGTCTAAAAGTGCCTTGTTGAACCTTAACACTAAACCTACCGGCACTTCATGTTATACCTATTCCTACCATGACCAATCAAATGACCAGTCGTGGTAGGTTTAATGTCCCCCAATATGGTTGGAGTCTTTGAAAGGTTGAGGACCACCGTAGGTCGTTGGTTTCGATCCAATTGCAGCGTTCGAAAAGAACCGTAAGACTCGTCCTTGACTCCTGGCGTTGCAATATAGAACGGACCACGCGTCGAGTTGCATTTCCGAGTTCACGATGACCTCTTCGACCCGCAATACCGTCGCCAATCGTGGCGAGCCAACCGTGTTCTAGTCGATGTGTTCGCCGGTTGCGCAGGAACTGTGGCCGCTGCCTGCTGAGCGAGAGGTAATCAGATACAGACATCTGCAGTCGCCCTTGACCTTGAAATACTTCAGCGGATCGCCTCCAAGCGCGTCCCTGAGGTCGCTCCTTTCGCCCTCTCTGGACAACAGGCGTATTCAGCTAGCACGTTGGGAGAGCAATCCCTAAAGCGGGACGGGACGTACAGCCACCCGAAACACGGGCAAAGAACGGAGAAACTAAGAGAGATCAATTCTTACCGGTTAACGACTGAATCGTGAATTCTGCAGAGTGCTATACTAATTACCACAGCTATAGTGGACTACGCTTACGTGTGTCGATATGATGTTATGTATGTTAAACGCAGTGTCCGACAAAAATGAAAAGATAAAAAATATAATGTCGAGGGGAATGGCGACGCGCTCGTGGACCAGACGCCACGAGATCGGTAGGCAGGATTTATCCCCGTGATCGAAGCGTCCCCCGGGCGAACCCGTACGCTCGTTCCCAGCCTCGTTCCACCCACGGTACCCTCCGAAAGAGGAGATCCTGTAACCGTCGGTCGTGGAACGCGCCGATCCATCCGCGGAACGACGGATGATCGACGAGCCGAAGTGTATCCCGCGTGATCGGGACGAGTTAGGAAAGAGCGAATTTGTATATACGGGATGGTAATTATCGCGCTAAATGTAGTAAATTCGCTGGACTCAAAGGGGAGATCCAGAATGGAATGAAAGGGGAACGGTGTGCCAGTGTTCGGAATGATTGACGTAGCGTTCTAGCGTATCCACGAGGCATTCGAAAGATTAAGCAAAATAAATAATAATAAAAAAAAAATTAACAAAAGCTATAGGGAGCTTAAATGTATAACTTACGTGTGTATTTCTCGGGTGTACAGATTAGAGAAGCGAGACGAGGATGACCAGGCCACACGAACCTAACACGCGAACACGTATTTGTAGAGGACACGCATAGAGAGATATCCACGCGACGGAATACATTTACACGCGTATAAACACCACATACACACACACCCACACACAAACAGACAAACGGACACACAGACAGGCAGGTAATAGGGAGTTTATTTTTTATGGCGAACTATAGAAGAGCTTGCACCTTGCGAAACGAAGGCGATACGACGAAACGTTAGCGCGACCGTCCTTCGAATCCACGGGGAAGATGGGACCGAGCGACGAACGAACATGCTATCGATCTTGACACGCAATAATACAATATTATCGTACGCACAATCGCTGTGCAATAAACGCTAACGCCTACGCAAACGACTATTACCTTGATCGTTGGTCACGGTGAAACGTATCGTTGCCATCGGGACGCGCGTCGCTGAAATAGATCATCGTCGCTGACCGCTGTCACCTGGATGCTGCAACGTTCGACGATAACGAAGTTGCACGAAACCAACATCGAGTTTGTCTGTAGGGCTTATTCAACCGCGGCATTGTTCTCCGGGTCAACGGTACCATCGTCGACGCTTCTTCTACGCGTGTATCCTCCAGCAGGCTCGTAATTAGCGCGTGCACGCAACGTCGAGCGCGCTTTGCACACCAGCAACGTCTAAACCAGCGTTCCTCAAACTAGAGTCTCGCTAAAAGGGGCATACTATATCGTGGAATAAGCAAAACGCTTCGTGCAACATTTTACTCTTATCAAAGAAGGTCTAACCTGAAGCTATAAAAATCGACGGTTCTTTACGAATTCTTTTGTTGACGATTCGTGTTTGCGCTCGAAGGAATTTTCGTATTCTCATCTTTTCTTCGTTAGAAAAGTATCGAGACGTAAAACATATTATTGTACTGCATCGGTAGGAGGATCTATTAGAACGGTTACGTACTTATTTGTATACTCCTCGAGAATACGTTTCAATTAATTTTTGTTCGAAACATCGTCCATCCGATTAAAATTAAGTTCATGGAATTCATGGTTTTATCAACGTTTTGTACTTGCATTCATCACTTTTCATTCTGCTTCTGTGAACAGTAATAAAAGATAGTAAAATTTTATGGAACTTCTTGTTTGTAATGGGGCAGTGTTACTTGAGATAAGTATTTAAATTGCTCTGCTTCCACGGGGGGAAGGTGAAGTTTGAGAAACACTGGTCTAAACAATACAACGGAGTCAGAGACTCGGCCATTCTTCGGATCGGTCGACGGAAATTGCGACACGTTTCCGCGCGTCACACTCGCGCGAGTATCATGTGCGACACGACATCGACGACGCGAAGGGAACCGATTTTACGATCGTCGACGAGTGCTCGTCAACATGCCTAATGTCAATCAGTAGCTTAGTTATCGATCCGCGAACCACCATCGTGCGTCACTTTCCCTTCCGTTGATTTTCTACCGATAGCTGTTTAGGCACTTTGCACGCTGAACTCCCGCAGCGATCGACGCGAATTTTATAGACGAGACGAGGACGATTTGTCCGATACCCGATTATTTTCGTACGATAGTAGCGAACCGACGTCGCGCCCGCGTTGAAAAGGGTTGGAACGACTGCTGACGCAAATGGGTATCGACATCTTCGAAGATCCCCGGTCGATATCCGGTTCTTTCGTTCGTTGGATCGCGAATACGCCTTTCGGGCAGAGGCGAACGACTTTGGCCGCTCGAGGCCACCGAACCATCCCCAGTTTGTAACTCGGTGGTCATTGAAACTTAAAACTTTCGGCCTGATCATCAAATACACGATATTAAAACTCATATTCTATCTAGAGAAAAAACAATATTTAATCGTTAATACTTGTCACTATAATGGCGACCAGGTGTATACAAACGTTTCTCTAATATTCTCTCGCCTCGAGCAGCCAAAATGTTTCGCCTCGACCGAACCACGAAGAAAGCACTCTCTGGCTGACCGTCTATAAGCTTCCATATGCTATTGGCAATCAGTGATTTGGATGTGCAATCATAGCTCCCGCGCTACCAACAGTAATCGACGCCAGTTAGAACAACGATCGCAGCGATCGAAAAAGGAGTGGAAAAAGAAAAACAGAACGAAACAAAGAGCAACGAAACGGACGGGAAGCTACCAAACGTCGAGGTTTCTCCGTGGGGGAGGGGGGGTTTTTCTTTAGAAGCGGAACCTCGTCCGATCGAGGACGGTCACGTCGTGGGAGCCATCGTAATTGCGAATGATACAAAGTTGCGCGGGACCCAGAACGAAGAGATATTTCTATGTAGTGTTTAAATAAGAAAGGGTGGCGAAAGGTAGACGGACTTGAATGGATAGTGCGCGTGAGAGGGTAAAAGGAACTGTGTGCGTGGGGTTTAGGTGCTTGAAGAGGGAATCCCCTTGCGAGATTGTGTCTAGATGAGGATGTAGCCGGGAGATAGAGCGGCGAAGATGGATCATTATTTGTACATATATAGGCGTTACGAGGATCAGCCGCCTTTTACGCCTCGTCCCTTTGGCTGACAAGGTACGAACCCGATCTGTCCTTCTCCGATCTTCGATGTCCGACAGATCGAGTCCTTGCTTGGTGAGTGTTGCCTCGAAAGGGAACGTCCTCGGGGATACGGCGGGGAAGTTTCCTTTCGTTCAGCCGCTTTCGGATTTCCTTTCACCGGTGTCATTTTTTTCTCTCTTTTTTTTGCGTTCCTTCCGTTTGAATCTGGTCAGTCTCAATCTCTACGCGGGTAGGCTTGAGAACCGTGTCACGAACAATAAGATTAAACGAAAGGTCGCGCGACGAGGCCTCCCGTGCGACCCGCGCTCGCGCACCGAACCGACGTTCTCCTCGCCGACGCGATATATTGCTTTGATAATACACGCGTAATTGAATTTGTATCGACGTCTGGTCGAACGGTGGCGAACGGGGGTGGCGCGCTACAGCCTCGAGACAGCGTTGGTGTGGATGTAAATATTATATACACGTGCGTAGAAACGTAAGAAGACTAACAAAGTGGAGGAGTACGGGAGTCGAGACACATTACGCTGAAAACACGTACACGCGCGGAAAGAGAGAACATACACACACGAAGATACGGACACGGACACGGACACGTACACGTACACGTACATACATTCACGAATTTGCGCGTAGCTTAACTGTCTCCTTAATATAGGTGTTTGACGCGTCGCCGGAAAGGGGACACGAGACCATCGATAGAACGAAGAAGCTACCAACGGGGGTTGAAAGAGGTAAAGGAGGGTAAAGGAGAAGGGAAGCCACTTGTAACTGACATAGAATAGAGCAAACCTAACTATATTTACTGTGACATGTAATATCCTTAATGATGCGATCTACTGATAGAAGAGTTGTTCTGCACAAACACGATGCTTCATTGATAATTATAGTGTCTCTCTCTTTCTCTCTCTCTCTCTATCTCTCTCTCTTTCTATCACTCTATCTTCAAGAAAAAAAAAGAAAAAAAAAAATATGGAGTAACGTACCTCTCTATACCTTATGGCAATTAAATAATACTCGACTCGATCGAAAGAAACGAGAAAACATTTTTTGCGCGTTTACCTCGTCGCGAATTGATTGTCATTCGGATCATCATCGATTCTCACGCATCATCATTGTTAATTCTATTGTTGCCGCGATCCGGTACCGGTCGCGCCGATGAGACGGAGAACGAAGGATCATGGCAGAGGACGCGAAACAGGTGGATTATCGCCCGTCGTCGTCTTGTCGCGTATTAATATAAAATATTCTAAATAAATATTGTTACCGTCGATCACAACCGACTACAGAGGATAAGTATGGAGAAGGAGAGTAAAACAATGCTCGCGTGACGATCGCCTTCAATGCGTCGCGCGATCGATGACTATAAAAAAAAACGTGTGAGAAAACGATCGATTTGATGTAAAGTCGACGTAACGAGTATCGCGCGAGGAACGTCGTTGCCGGGAGGAGGCCAACGGGATTCTATTCGGAAACCAGAAACACTTTCGTTCGAAATCGGGATAGAATCTTGCTGCGCGTACCGCGATGCGAAGAACATAAAATTCTAACGAGCGAGGAGCAGAATCCGAGCGACGCGTTTCCGTAACGACGTCGCGAACGCGTCGTTTTTAGAGCGTACGAAAGGACAAAAACCACTTTGTATGCACCCGCCCCCTCCCCCATTGTTCATGCCCATTTATATTGCGTAGTTGGACCGATCGATAATTATAACGGACGTGAGATACTATTATATATATACCTATATATACATATTAAAAAAATTTATATATAAATATATATATAAAAGCGACAGAATGAAACTACTGTAACTACACCTGCCTCTTGTGAATAAATGCCTATTTGTTTCTTTTCAACCTCGTTGTTAATCACGTCGCTGCTTTCATTCTAAAAACTATGTAATATCAAACCAAATCCTTTGGAAGATCCCCTTCTACGAAACAGTAAACATTATTTCTCCACTGAACCGACGTAAAACCGTACAATTTTGAAAAGAAATTCTCCCAAGGCATCACGCATCCGTAAAACAGACTTTTATTAAATAAATATGTTGTCACAATTGCTCAGATCAAGAATCATACAGCTATCGTACAATCTCGACGAGCCTCGCGCCCCGTCGTTCTACTAATTTACAAATGACCAGAATCGTGCGAATTTTACTCACAAATAAAGAATAAAAATTTCATCGATTCAATTCACGAACGAATCTAAAAACTTTTGCTCGTTACTCGTGATTGAAATTTGACGGACTCTGCGTACTTTCTATGGTACTTGAAACCGATCGTCCGCGTAAAATTTTCTCTAGCGTTATTGCACTAGTCGTTGTGTAAAAGGGCGTAGGGCACGCGGCTGGATCGATCGAGTTTCACCGACCAACCGTCGTTTTCTTTTTTACAGCTCCCGAGGCATAACAATTTCCTGGTCCGCTCGAACGGATGGACGGACGTTACTAATTAAGTTTAAAAGATAGGATCGCCCCGCCAGCGATCGATCAGTTTGTCGAAATTTAAAATAAAAACTGACTCGATTGGTAGTCCAGTCGAAAAGTCTTTTGAATAAATTTGTCATTTTAATATCGTTTTTATTTTGACTACTGGCGGGGTGATCCTGCACGGATCGATTTTAAAAATACAAAAGACGCGGTAACAGAAGCTAACATTCCCTCGTGTATACTTACTCTCCATTTCATCGATTCTTTCTGTCCATAGGTATCGGCAATAGTGCCGCAACGCCTTCGATCGCTAACACGTAGACTGAGATGGTGGTCGTTCTAAATTTATGTTTCTTTAAGACTTGTGTACGCGAATGAGCTCTAATTACTTGTAAACTCTCAAACAAACTTGAGAGTAACAGTACAGAGGATAGGAAAACCATAAAGTGCAAAATAGACAGAATATCAAGAACGTGGCACCAAGTCCACAGCTTGCTCTCGATATTATATTTCATAGTTCGACTCCGCTCGAAACGTTTAAAATAAATATTTAGCGATGCAAGCATACCAACCATCTGTTCAGTAATTTAAAAATAATATCGAGAACATCCACGGGCGTGGAAAACAGCCATGACAGTCGACGCGTCCGATTCACCGTAACAGCGATAAAATATTCATATCACAACCAACGATAACGTCCTCTCTCGCAAACCTAACGTAAGACACGAACGTCTATCACAAACGGCGTTTGATTTACAGCCACGAGGGAAACGCACTTCCTTCAGGCCGCGTCGAATCTCGCCGGAATAACAGAAAAAAAAACAACTAGGAAGTCCGCCAGTTTCTCTCGAACGCATCTCGCTAGCAATAATAACAAGTTTGAACCCGCGAACCAGAGGAGATCTTTACGAAGCACACGCTACCAGAGATCGTTCTTACGTCGGTAACGAGCCGTACCGCCATTACCGGAATGACCAGACGCTCTCGAAACGTTCGCGCGAAGGGAAAAGAAGCGTTTACGCTTCACCGTAGACAATCGCTTTGCCCGCTCGAGCTGGCCGACTTACTGTCGCTTTCCTTCCCAGATGATGCATTTGTCTCGCATTAAAGAAGAAATCTCCTTCCTCGCTTCAGACTCCAGCACGTTCGAGCACACGACACGCTCCGCCAACTCTTTTCGCGACCACGGGAAAGATCTACGGCTCGAGAATCCTATCGGGGTGGCCCAGAAAACGTTCGAATTTCGCGCAATTCTTAACACATGTATCCTCTGATACTCTCTACCAATATTAATGTATTGTAAAATACAATTTCATACGTTTTCTCGAACGCCCTGATAAGATCGACAAAAATCTACGACGAATCTTAATTCCACAGCTCCACACTGAACACTCGGACACGGTCCGCCATCTTGCCACGATCTCTCGACGGACACCGTCCGTGTCGTTTCCGTCGTGTACGCGAGAGCACATAAAAAGTGGAACGAAAATGCTTATGACCTCTTTCTCTCTCTTTGTTCTAGAAATGTTCGTAGAAAGTAACGCACCCCGCGCGTTTCGCAGCCGGGTGTTCGCCGTTTAAATTCGAATCGGCAGTCTGTCTCTCAACTCGACCGCGAGACTAGCGGTCGAAATGGTCCCTGATTACGCCGTCGTCGCGACGTAGACGCCTGGGAAAGTGTCGCGTACCTTCCATCGCCAGTCTTCGTCTCTCACCGCGCACCGGTGTCCATTGCTTTTCGTTTCCCGTCGCGAGGACATTCATTTTCGTCAAAAAAAACCGAACATCTTCTTCGACGTGCTGGAGCTCCGCTTCTTTCTCGCCGGGGCAACGATGTCGCCGTTCTCGGGGTTCGAGGAGGTTATAGTGTTCGTTAGGGGCATCAATTTGCTCCTCACGTGCTCGTCCAAGAGAGATTGAACGTCCATCTGCCACTGCTCGAGCTGCTGGCTGAGCTCCACCTTCTGCTGGATAGCCTCCATCAGTTGGCTATTAGCCTGCAGAACGTCTATCCTCGTTTTGGCTAGCTCCACCTCGGCCCTGTTCTTCCTAGCCACGGCTTGGTCCCTGACCTTGTAAGCCTGCGCCAGGACCTCGTCCTTGGTCAGCTGAGAATGCTCCATGTCCCCGCGAGCTCTGTCGCGCTCCTCTCTGACACCACGCAACTCGGCCTCGCAGACGCTGAACTTGCTCGTCGTGTCGAGCAGAGCCTCCCCTCGCCTTTTCAGCTCGTCCTGGGTCTGTTTCAGCTGCTCCTTCGTGTGCTCCAGCTCCTCCCGCACCCTGTGAAGCTCCACCGCCAGACCAAGCTCCCCGGGAGCCCCCCTTCCGGACAGGGCCAGGTTGTACACCTCCTCCACCAGGTCCAGCAAGGCACCGGGACAATTTGCCTGTGAAATGAAATATTTCAGTCGTCAAACATAGCCTTGCATAGCCCCCTGACCGTAGGATGATCGACGACTTCTGTATCCCAAGTATGGTTTCGAACGACAAACCGGAAACGTTCAACGATTACGCGATACGATCTCGTGATTCTATGAATACTCCCGCAAATGCACGACCGCGACAAAGCGTGTACGATCGCCTAAAATGCACCAGTCACGCTCGATCCGCTATCTACGATCTGCTGGCTGGGGATCGGCGGGCCGAGCACGTTCCTCCGGTTCTCGTGGGCGCTCGAGAGGCCCGGTGCCCGCCCGGCCGTCGGAAACCGGAAATCGTCGAACAAAAGCGGCGAGTTACGCGAGCCCCTTACCGAGCTGGGGACGGTATCCTGCCCGTTGGTGTTCACCTCCTCCGCATCCGCGGTGTTGTTCACGATCACGAGCATGGACTCGTCGCAGTCGCTCTGCAGCCCCGAGTCGTCCTCCCCCCGTCTCAGATGAACGCACAGCTCCTTCAAACGCTTCGTTGCCCTCGCCACCTCTGCTCTCAGATCCTCCTGCTCCCCCAGCGAGCTTCCGCTCTCCTCGCACTCCATTTCAGCCTGCAGGGACCTCGGTGGTTTCTGTATCGAGCCCGATGTGCTCCTCCTCCGCTCCTCGATGGTCGCCAACGTCGCCGTCAGCTCGTCTCTGCGGATCGAACAACCATTAACGACAATTCTCGTCGATGTTACCTGATAGGAGTTGTAACGAGTTATGGAAAAATACTAGAGACGCGTGGGTGGCTCGGATCTTGTTTTCAACTCACTTTTAGACTGGGAATCGCTTTTTTCTGCTGGTAACACGATTATAGAATACAGTAATTCCCTGGACTTGGGTGAACAACGCGATCTCGAGAGAAGTCGATAGCTGTTGAATGCCACTCGACTGGAAACCCTATTCCGTTTCCCTTGCGCCAGATCGACTTTCCGCGCGTGGGCACGCCGATCGACAAGTCCCGGAGAGAGAATATCGCGTGGAAAAGAGCCGATTCTCGCCCGATCGCCGAGGCAAACTGCGTTCGACGCGATCTTGCGAAGAGAACGCGCGATAAGGTCGAGAACAGCGAGCTGTGGTACGTATTGTGCAGTTAACGCTGCGCCATTTTTTATCAGAAGCGATTGTTAATCCCTTAACGCGCGTGTGTCTGTCTCGTACAAGGCCGATCCACGTGTGTGGGCTCGTATCTTTCGCGAATCTTGATACGCTTTGCTCTAGCTGTCGATCTAAACAATGTAAAGTAGCTGACTCGTAGCCCGTAGAATTTATTTGTGCTGTTAGAAATCTTGTTGGTGTTGTACGGGAGAAATTATTAATATTTGTAACTCGTAACTTAGGAAATTTTATGTACGAAGTTTCGTGCATCGTGCAGAATGACTGTGAGATTCAAATAAATTTAGATATTCGGGTTGGGGAAAAGTTATCTTCGTCGTTTCTTGAAACTGCTGGCTCGAAGAGGCCCGATGATATCTCAGGTTACTAATGAGTTACCGAGGCAGAAAAGTAAAAGTTCTATACTTTACAGTGTATAATTATAAAACTACTTTAATGGGATCCATAAAGTTCTTACCATGAAAATTGTACCAAATACATACAAACGTATTTTAATGATTTCGCGTTAGACGGGGAATGTTTAAGAACGCCCATAATATGTAATAATAACAGCAGAAACGCAGATAGATCGGTGTTAGAATTACTGGTGAATGTTCGAAGGCTAGAAACATGAATTTGTTTTCGCACGAGCATTCTGCGATCGAATATGTTTGTTTAGTACGCTGGTATAGCTGGTGCAGAATACGAATGGCATAGATGAGAAACTGCACGCATTGTAAGGAGAAAGAAAAAACAGTCTCGGGCATAAGGGGAATGTGGTACTACGAGCAAGTAGTATGTGAACAGCGTCGAGTAATTTTGCCTTAGTATGGCTGACAATAACGTCTGACCCAATACAACTCGGAACGGAAGGCCTTTTTCACTTCACAGAATAAATAAGGGGGCATCGCGCCAGTACAATACGACGCTAGAAATGAAAAAGTTCCTATTGCAACACCTAGGAAACAATTTTAATCAAAGAACAATTGATATATTAATCCTCTCGTTCCCACAATAACAACATACATGGTCTCGCCACGCGAGGACTTCAGTAAATAAAAATTGCATGGTATCAAGAGGGGCACAAAGTACTGCAATTAATTTTGTATTTACTTTGTAAAATCACCTTCAGCTTCTTTGATGGAGAAACAATGCACGGAGTATCATCCGTTACAATCGATGCAATTGTTCAATCTTACTATCGGAGAGCAAGAAACTTTTCCAAGCGTTTCTACAGTTATTGCCGTACACGCATTAACGCCACGTACTCGCGAATCGTCGTTGGTGGCTCGTTCTATGATGCTCCACAAAGTTAGTAATCAAGCAGCGTTAAATTTAGCGATCCAACCGTTTGGAAACGCGCAACTTCTACTTGAAACGTTTGGCTCGTGGATTCACATTTATTCTAATTACTCGAAGTTAAGGGTTGAAAAGCTAAGGTCTAAGAAAACGTCCATGAACAATTAGAAACGGGACGAGAACTTTGGGTGCGTCGATATGGGAAATCGTTTAAATTGTTCCAAAGAAACGAACCCTCGTCGTTAGTGGAAAAGCTCTCGCGTTTCGTGGGCGGCTCGATCGACTGCCCGCGTTCTCCGCGATGAAGAAACAACCGAGATCCGTGTTATCGGGGATCGACGGTGCATTATCTGGGAATATTAAGTGGGCAGCATCGAATCGCGAGAACTCACCTCTCTCGTTCGGCCAGCTTCGCCCGGAGTTCCGCCTCGTGACCGAGCCGCTCCAAGGCCGCTGCTCTCTCCTCGGCTTCTTCGAGGGCCGCCATCGCCCTCGTCCTCTCCTCCCGCAGCTCCAAGGACCTCCTCTCTAATTCTGTTCGTTGAGCAGACACCAGCTGCACCTGGAACGCCGTGAATACCGACTTAACGCGCTTGCGTTTCGTTCGATTCGATTTTGTTTGGCCTCTATCAATCAGCTTACGAACCGTCGACAACTCTCATTGGATCACCACCGAGAATTCACGCTTCCCAACATGTTTCGTTAACCTTCCAACCGCCATCGAATCCCTTTTTAAGCTCATTTGTTTCCAATTATATCCGAAAACTTGTTTCTAATTTAATTTATTTCAATTTCAATTATTAAAGTAGCCTGTAAAATTTGTGGGGTGCAGCTACCCCTGATCAACCTGACTTCACTGACAATTTGGTAATCGGGAATGCACGTAGAAAGTTCACTTTCGAAACAGTTTATTTTAATAACGATTGTCATATCGTCATCCTAAGAAATTGCTAAAAATGGCGTTCATCTCGCTAGCTAGATAATCATGATTTCTGTAATAATCTTCGACGGAATTAAATTGGCATTAGTAATTTCGTAGATATAGCGAGGAAGGTGACAAAAAATTAAACATATTATAATACTTTTCATGGAAAAGTGAACCTGGAAATCTGGAGAAAATGCCCTTGATTGGGATTGAGATCTAGAGATCAAAGTTTCTGAAAAATGCTGTTTTACTACCGGTCATGGTTTCGTATCGCACCAGCTAATGATAAATAGCATTACTATCATGACAATGCACTCCATGGGCGAGAAGATGGATTTCTCTCACAATGTGAACATCACTCTGAGGCAATCTGTACGGATCCGTGCAATACAGTGGAAAGCTGAAGAGAAAATGCTAATGATCGCAATACAGATTTCGCGATAAAAATATTTAAAAAAATCCCAGTTCGTTTATAACAGAGTGCAAATTAATTATTTCCAAACACGGTAGAAACTGATTATAAATATTTGTATAAATAGAAGCAACACGGAAACGAATCGCGTAGAAATGCCTAGCTTCCGTCTGTTCGGTTACCTTCTTGCACTACTGCGACCTAGTCCTTAAAAGTTTAACCATTAACCTTTTGCTCCCGCAGGATACGCTTTAAAGTTACGTTTCCAGCGTTTGTATAATCAATAACATCGACGTAACGCGCGGACAGCGTAACGTATATTGCACACACTTAATTCATGCGTGAAGAGCATTTCCTGAAACTCGATAGCCGGTCGCCTCTTGTAAGGAGAGAACAAAGGGCGCAAGAAACGAAGGACGGCGAGTCGAAGTCGATCGCCGAGGGTCACGATTGTGTTTGCTCTCCACGCTCCGGCTGAACTTCTCACGGTCAGGTTTCTTCTCGACTTCGTTAAAGGCAGAATCATTGATACGCCCCCCGGACCATAAATATTCAATTCTTCCCAGCGCTGTTCGCGACGCAACGGTAAACGCGATTCTCAGAATAATTAGACGGGCAATCTGCAATCAGAGCGATCGAAACGATCGCCCGTTCCCGTAAACTCCTCCGAATGGTCGCGCACGATTTCGTAATAATCATCGCGAGTCACGGTCAACAACCAAAGATAAAAATTATTCGTCGTAAATACACGATAACGAGTAGCTGTCGGAGTCACGCGGGGTCACAGACGGGGTTAAGTTATTCACAATTTTCCCGCACTAAAAAATTTTCTTGCGCCCCCCTCCTGGGACTGTGAGACGCCCCCCACATTGGAAACCACTGTTGTAGTCGGAAACTATTAATTTACCTCGTCCCTGAGAATCTCCAAGCTGCTGACGTGATCCTGGAGCGTGGTACTTCTGAGGGCACACTTTTCCCTGAGCACCTTGACCTCGATGAGCAGCTGTTCTTCCTGTTTGGCCGCTTCTCTCAGCTGATCGGCGAACCTCGTGTTTTGAGCGGTGAGCTCGGTAACGAGAGTCGCTTGATCCCGTTCCGCACGTCTGGCGCACTCATTCTGCTCCTCCAGCTGACGCCTGAGCGTCTCCACGTCGCCCTGGAGCTCCAAAGTTCTCGCCTCGTTCTCGCCCTTGACTTCCTCGAGCCTTCTTCGGAGCAGGTGCCTCTCTTGTTCTAGTCTCTGTCGGGGACAAACGTAGAAAAACGTTAAGACCATTAGAAAATCGATCAAAGCCAATTTGCGGTAGCCAACGTGCGTGCGTTTCGGTGCCTTTAACCTTTACACCGGTGGCACGCGATTCCACGACGCGGGAAATATCGTAATTCGAGAGCCGAAAAGTGCTATCCGGGTCACCTTACTCGTTCGAAACCATTCGTCGATACGAACAACACTTTTCTGAATCAGAACCAAAAATCTAGATACAAATTTTGAATATAGAAAGAAAAATAGGGTGATTCTACGTAAAACAAACAAGTCGAAAGTAAAGAATGAAATTTGAGATAATTAAATTTGAAAATTGAATGTACGAGTCTGGCGTGTCTGTCCATTAACAACTGTTTCTACTTACGCTGACGCCAAAGGCGTGCTCCACTGCACTCACACGCAACGAACGAGAGTCGATTTGTACCAGTGCACACGATCGAAACGCAAAAACGTTAATCCACGAACAAACAGATTACCGCAAGTGGTAAACCTCGAAAGGCCGTTCCTAAAATCGCGAGAATCGTTCGAATTAGCTTCGACCTCGAAACAACGCGACCTACGATCGCCACCGCAAACGTCCCTGAGCGGAATATCGAAAGCAAAAAACTGGATTCCCCGCGTAGCGTTCCCTTTCTCGAAATTCCCAACTGGTTTCGCCGCGAAACGTCGTTGGACGAATTTTAAAAAGACCCGGTGACTCACGAGCGACGCTCTCCTACTTCGAGAATTTACTACTGACGCTGTCGAGGCCCACGAGAGAATCAGGTGAAAGGACAGTGTTTGGACGTTTCGTAACGGTGCCGGATCGAGACAAAAGCTCGGGACAACTTTCGTCATCGCGTTCCCTGGAAAGGTTACATGCAGGTAATCCGGATCCTTGGCTATGAGAATGGAAAACGAGAAATTTACCTTTCTTTCGACTCGAATACCGATATGCTTTATTATACGAAATCGTAGGCTTATTACGACTGCATCGCTGACACATTGATCGTTACTTCACGATCGTAAAGTATAATCTTAGTTATCGTTCACAGAAGCGTTAATAGCGTTTAAAATCGATAAGGATTAGATACGTGTTCGCGATCATCTATTAGTATCGAGGGAGTGGATCAAAATGATCGATCGTTCCATCGGTCTGATCCAGAGATAGAGAGAATTCTGTTCGAATAACAAATACATATATGAATAGAAATGTGTTGTTAAATACAGAAAATATTATAAATAGAAAAATACGAATGATAAGTACGATTGTAAAATATTATCGTCGATATCGGGAAAAGTGGTACGATCCAATGGCGTTCGCGTAATCTCGGACACGGTTCTGCGGCGGCAATCTCGATGCATGCGCAAATGAAAAGAGAACTGTAATGCGGGCGTGCACACAAACAAACAATCGCGTTGTTTGATGTCGGTGAAGTTTATCGAGCTAGAAGGTACGGCCTTGGTCTCCCGTGGTTACTCATCGACCGATCGCTGGCGAAGGCAAAGGCTTATAGTTCGCCGATCCCCCAAAGTTCGCTAGAGGCCAATGAATTCCGTCACGAACGTCGTAGAAAAATTCCACAAACATTTAAAATACATGTACAGATCGAGAATCGAATTGGCCCACCAAAACCACCCCAAAATAAAAATTCTCAGCCACTGGAAAAATATTGCACTATTTTTATATCGAACAGAACGTTTCCAAGAGCTTAACAGTCGATTATCTGTGCAGTATCATTCGAGCAAACGATCGTTCTCTTTGCACATGGTGGCTCGGACTGTCTCAAGGGGTAGGAACAAAAAGACTGGAACGTGCAAGGAAATAATAAAGGGCGCAGTAAAACGGGGTACACGTTTAAGTGTACGCAAACGAGCAGGGTACACGTAGGACTGTAGGGAGCAGAGAAACAGGGACATATACAACGCGTACGAGGAACGAGGAACGAGGAACGCGATTTTCCATAAGGTAACACGGCCCCAGGCGACCAGCAGAGATCTATGAGTCACGGATCTCCATCCCGTTCTCGACTGTTGCCCCGATCGCGATGATCGCGCCAGGAAACGATGACCATTCCCTTTACAGACCGCGAATCTTGTCAAAACACGGACACGTGGGCGTCACACTCGACGAAGTCGAAACGTAAATGCGAATTAGGAAAGTTTTACCGAAGCGAAACAAGAATCCAATAACAATTAGATGATTTATATTTCCCTCGAGATTTCAACAATCGTGAGTGCGTTTCATAACGGTGATTATCCACGGTAACTTCGATATCATCGAGGATTATTCTCGAAACTAGAAAAAGCTGTTCTTCATAAATATAGATAGGGGAATGACTCAATGGGCATTATCATTCTATAAAATCTTCATTCTCGAGAACTATGTTGTAAATACGATCAGAAATATGCAGTTTCGTTTCCGTTAGTAAAACTGTGCCTTCGTAATCTTCTTCGTAATTTCTGCGCGGGAAAGTGCAAGATAATGTTATCGAACGGGCCGCGAGATACCTCGTATTTTCTAGTTTTATTCGAAACGAAAGCATAATTGCACAGCACAGTCGCTACGTCACGCTCGAAAAATGTATCATATTGTAAAAAATACAACGATTAAGTCATTTAACTTTTTACTCGGCCAATTTTCTTTACGCGCGTCTGAAAACGCGTTATACTGATATCACGATGATTACACGGTTTATTATATTTTGCAGCTCGTTAATATTTATTCCACCGTACGGCACACACGCGTACTTTCGTTTTCCTTACAAATGTAATAAAAGAACTGTCCCGTTAACCTACGGTTATTACGTAAAAGCAAAGAAAAACCGCATCTCGTTACTTTTCTCTTCCAGCTGGCATAAAGAAATTATGACTCCGAGCCATAATTACAATTACGCAAGTATCTCAGAAACTGAGACAGTCTACGAGAAAAAAAAAATATATAACACTGAATAATTCCTTCGTCTTCTAGTGTTCAATTATCCTTCGAACTTAGTTAAGCTCTTGTAATATCATGTTATTATGAATTTGGATGCTGTCGCAGTATCTCCGGTTCAACGGTGCCATACTCCTTGCACAGAGTCGTGTGAACCCCTTTGTCTCGACGAACCAGCCTAATTCGTACGCAATGTGGCCTTAATACCAAGTAAATTAATTACAGCAACGTTGCTATTACGCTATATTAGGGTTATTGTCAGCTCATAAGCTGATAAACTCTTTAAAGTTAAATGAATGAAGAAATTAAAAATCAGGTCGAATTATTAGTATCGAGCTAACGTTTATGCACTAGATTCTCTTCTTTGTCGCGAAAAGCAATATACGATCGTCGCAAATATCAACGAGAATCGATAACGACGCCGTCTGCGCCTAATCCTGTATCCTTATCTGTCTTTATTAATATTGGCAACGATGAATCATTGATACGCGGCCGTAGCAGGCACGCATCCTCTTGGCAAACTTGAGCATCTGTTACCTCCAGTTAATCCGTTCGTTCAATTACAGTCTACGTACCTATCGACGAGCCAATCGATGCGGATAATTGCAGGCAAGTATCCGTGGACGCAAAAGTGTGTTGCGCTACAAGGTCCCGAGTATTCGTGACTCACGAATCCCGTTCGATATTCGATCCTCGATCGTTCTCGACTGATCTTTCAACATCGATTCTAATGCCGTCGTTAATGTTACACGATGACGAAACATTCCTATTACAAGGTAAAAACAAATTTATTACGAAGACTCATCCACCGACTCGAAAACGGAAGACTTGACGATTAGATTAGACTCGAAATTGTTATTAGCCCTCTCAAGACTTTGTATCGTCGAGGAGAGGTACTCGAACGACTCCATTTTGGCTCGAAGTGCAATTGCCTGCAAGAGAACAAGTGACAGTTTATGGGCTCCAGCATGCAGATTGTAAATAATAACGCTTCAAAAAGGAAACCATCCTCGACAGAAAGATTATTCTAATTACACGCCAGGCTAGCAATCCATCTTCCGGCACACTTTATCGGACTTCTAATTTAATGGCTGAGCTCCTGTCGCTTTCTGCTCGAAGAAACAGACATCCGGCCGATAGAAAGGGAAATAACCGAAACAAGGAAGCAGAGTGAACAGCGACTGGTACGAATGGGCGCGGATCTTCGATTTATCATACCTTGACGCGACCACGTGGCCACTACTCTACCCTGAAATCGTTCTTTCATCCTTCGCCGACGATCGACCAGCGGACCGAGCTAGGCAAATTTCAATTTAGAACAGATATTTCAATCGTAAACTAGCTCGTCCGGGCATCTGGAAAATTTCGGGGAAACATCTCTGGTCCCACGTTAGATTTTCAGTAATGAATTTTTTTCTCGAAAGTGCGAAGGAATTCGAGGGTGTGTATATTCACAAAAAATGATCGTAATAGCCCCCTGCAGCCAAAAATAATTTTTTTAAAACGATTTGAAATTTTTTTTTTCGTCGAAAATTTGAGCACCTACTCGAATTTTTTTCTCGAAAATGCGTAGGATTTCGAAGGTATGTCTATTGACCAAAAATAATTGTAATGGACCCCTACAACCAAAAATAATTTTTTTTAAACGATTTGAAATTTTTTTTTTCGTCGAAAATTTGAGCACCTACTCGAATTTTTTTCTCGAAAATGCGTAGGATTTCGAAGGTATGTCTATTGACCAAAAATAATTGTAATGGACCCCTACAACCAAAAATAATTTTTTTAAAATGATTTGAAATTTTTTTTTTCGTCGGAAATTTAAGCACCTACTCGAATTTTTTTCTCGAAAATGCGTAGGATTTCGTGGGTATGTCTATTGGCCAAAAATGATAGCAATGGACCCTTGCAGCTAAAAATATTTTTTCCAGAACGATTTGAAATTTTTTTTTTTGTCGAAAAATTTCAGCACCTACACCCTGTCGATTTTTCTTTGGTTTTTCAGTTTCAGAAAGTCCATAAGGTGTAAGGTTTACTCGTATACCTGTCTGTGATGTTAGGCATT